CCTGGTTTCTTATACTTGGAAGGGTATTAAGAAACCACAATCTGGACATATATAGTAATGGGTTTGGTAGGTAACATGATTTAAAATAATGTTTTTGCTCCATTGAGAAGAATATATTGGGACATCTTTTAATTTCTTGTCCTTACATTACACAGATTTTTATATTAGCGTTATTTTGGTACTTATGCTATAATTACAATAACATCTACCACTTATTATGTACTTACTGTGTAAATAATGCTGTAATAAACCTTTGACATTGTCTTTTTTTCAAAACTCTTCAAAATCTTACAAGTATTTTTATTCCCATCGTGTAGATGAGGAATTGGAAACTCAGAGAGCTTAAAATAATTTGTCCAAGGTCCCAGTGCTGAGATTTAAATTGGCCTGTGCGACTAGCTCTTTATTATACATTACATGTTTGGCTGAGAATAGATATAGAGAAACAGTACTTTCAGAAAAGTTTACTCTTAATTGGGGATATTGTTGTTAGATACCATTTAGTCACTTACGACTCACAGCAACCCTGTGTTCAACAGAATGAATTACAGACCAAATTTGAATACACTTTACCACTCAAATACCAGATTTAATTCATGATTATGGAAAAACTGAAAGTACTTAGGAAGAATTTAGGATGGAATCAAGCAGAGAGGAACTTGTTAGTCTTATAAATGCTGGTTAAAGGAGTAGATGGATTTTTATTTATGTTAATTAGGTGAAAAGTACCATTTAAAATGATATACTTGTCATCAGTCTTTAGGACTTTAAGGAGATGGTCTCTTAAACTGCATCTCTAAGCCCTAGTCTCTTACTCTTCATAGTGTTGACCAACTTTTTTTTTTTAAAAACCAGAAAAAAATCCATTCAGGAAAATATACTTAACTTTGATTTATGTAAGACGCTCTGATGGCACAGTGCTTAAGGCATTTGACTGCTAACCAGAGGTTGGTGGTCCAAATCCACTAGCTGCTCCACAGAAGGAAGATGAGGCAATCTGCTTCAGTCAGGATGTGCTGCCATGAAAACCCAATGGAGTGTGTATGAGTCAGAGTCAACTTGATGGGAGTAGGTTTGTTTTTTTGTTCTTTAGACTTATCGGAATAACAAAATTTGAATTTTCACTACTACATTTTTAGCAAATGTGATATGTTTGTTAACTTTTGGGCTCCAGTTCTGCTTTATGCTGCTGGACAAGATGGAGTGATTTGACTACTGCCTCTCTTTCCCACTGATTACAAACTCTAGATTGAATATTCTGGGAAGTGAAAAATAGCAAGCAGGTTGGGAACTGAAGTCACAATTTGAGTAACATTCCATAAAGAGTGAGTTTTGCATTTCCCTCTTTTTCTTTTTTTCCCTAGTTTTGCCTTTTGTTGTTAGGTGCTATAGAGTCAGTTCCGACTCATAGCAACCTATGCGATAGAGCAAGACACTGCTTGGTAAAGTTTTGGCATTATGGTGGGCCACGTCCCGAGACTGCAGTGGATGATGCAGCACAATCTTCAGGAGAAACCCCCTATTTCTAGCCAGGCTACCAGGAAAAGGGGCTCTTGCATGGCACAGAATGTAGTGAGTGATTCTTCACTTTTTTTTTTCCCCTCTCTTTATCCTCACTTCACCCCAAGTCCATCCCTAATCAGGACCTTTGCCAGAGAAGCCAAAAAGGATCTCTGATATTCAAAGAGTTTGAGAGGACTTCTTATTCTTTGCCCTGTTTCTCTTGCTTCTTTGTGTAAAACTTCACAACACCTTGGAGATTAAAACTCTAACCACCTCATCTTTTTTTGCCCAAGGAACCAGAGAAAGGGACTCCTGGGAGCCAGAGAGTATAGGAGAAATTATAGAGATGCGGGCTGGAGAAAAAAATTCCTCTGATTATATTTATGAACTGACATAAGTCCCAGACTCACCAATGAGCTATATGCACTTAGAAAAGACCTAAAGGAACATAGCCAAAGCTTCTAGAACTGAACTATGACATAAATCACTGTCTAAGTCTCAGATTTAACTTTGAGTGGCTCATGTGCCAGGTAGACCCAAACAAAATAGCAAAGACTTTGAAAACTAACCTGACATTAGAGCCACTGCACATAAAAGGCAAGACAGAATTTAGACTGAACCCAGTTTTGTTGAATGTCTGCTAACATAAAACTTTATCTACATAATTTCAGTTAAGACTCTCTGTTTCAAAACATACTCAAAATGCCCAGTAGGCAGTCCAAAATTCTTGAATATTCAAAGAACTAAAAAAAGTCTGACCAATAATCAAAAGACAAGATAACATCTCAAACCCAAGATGACCCATATATTGGAGGTTCTTATTGTAACCACCTCCATGAGATGAAAGTGAACATTGTAGAAACAAATGGAAAGATAGACATTTTCAGGTGACAAACAGAAACTATAAAAAATTGGAAATTTCATAACTAAAAAATAAGTTTCTGAAGTTAAAAAAAAAATCACAATGAGTTTAACAGCAAAATGGAAATGAGATTAGAGAGTCAATGAACTTGGAATCTACCCAGAAACCCAAGAAAATTGTAGAATACAAAGCTCAGATGCAAATATCAATTTTATTTCTATATGCTAACAACTAGAAATCAACATTTTAAAAAACAGTACCATTTACAGTAGCCGCTCCCCAAAAAAGAAAGAAATTAAAACAATTATAAATTTAATGTTTGTAGGATCTGTATGCTGAGAACTACAGAACACTGGTGAAATGAATTAAATTAAAACACTTATAAAAAATAAATAAATCATGTTCATGGATTGGAAGACTCATTATTGTTGAGATGTTTGTTCTTTCCAAATTGATCTGTAGATTCAATGCGATTTCCAAATCAAAGTCAGAGCAGGCTATATTGTGGATATTGACAAGCTAATTCTGTGACTTACATGAAAAGATCAAAGGAGTTACCATCACTAAAGTATTTTTTCAAAAGGAGAATGTACTTGGAGGATTACACTAGCTGAATTCAGGAGTTAGTATAAAGCTATGGTAATCTCAAACCTGTTGCCATTGAGTCAATTCTGACTCTCAGTGGCCCTATAGGACAGAGTGGAACTGCCCTATAGGGTTTTCTAGGGTGTAATCTTTACAGAAGCAGACTGCCCCATCTTGCTCCCACAGAATGACTACTGGGTTTGAACTACTTACCTTTCAGTTAGCTGAATGCTTAACCACTGCACCAGCAGGACTCCTTATAGTAATTGAAACAGTGATATTGGCAAAAGGTTAGATACATAGCTCAACAGGACAGAATAAAGTCTAGAATGTATATAGTCACTTGACTTTTTGTTATAGTTGAAAAGCAATTCAATGAAGAGAGTAAAACCTTTGCAACAAGTAGAACTGGAACGATTGGATCATCTGTATGCAAAAATAAACAAAATACCTTCATCCTAAATTTCACACATTATGCAAAAGCAACCCAAAATAGATTGTAGATCTAAATATAAAATACACAACTATAAAATTTTTAGAGGAAAACATAGAAAATATTTGTGCTGCTAACCAGAAGGCTGGCAGTTGAAGTCCACCAGCCACTCCTTGGAAGGAAGATGGGGCAAATGTACTTCCACAGTGATACTACGTTGGAGGGGTCACTATGAGTTGGATCCGACTCGACGGCAGTGAGTTTGTTTTTTTTATTAGGGAAAAAGTGCTTTCAATTGGAATTCACTGCCATCGAGTCAGATCTGACGACTCATAGAGACCCCTCCTTGGGTTTCTGAGGCTGTATCACTATGGAAGTAGATTGCCCAACCTTCCTTCCAAGGAATGGCTGATGGGTTTGAACCTCCAGCCTTTTGGTTAGCAGTCAGTTGCCTAAGGCACCACACTACCAGAGGTCACAAAAAAGTGCTTAGCTATACCAAAAACATAATGTGTAAAAGGAAATAAATGGTAAATTTTGATGAAGTCCAGTAAAAAACTTTAGATCTGCAAAAGACACCATTAAGAAAATTCAGAGATAACCTACAAACTCTGAAAAAATACCTGCAAATCAATATGACAAATGATGACTATCTAGTCTTTAAAGAACTCTTAAAATTCAACAATAAGAAAACCAACAGCTCAACTTAAAAATGGGCAAGAGATTTGAACAAACCCTTCATCAGAGAAATTACAGGGATGGCAAATAAACACATGAAAAAAATGCTCAGTATCATCCATCACTAAGGAAATTCATCTTAAAACCACAATAAGAGACCACTTCATATCTGTTAGAATACATAAATTAAGAAAAAGAACTTGTTTTACAAAATGCAGGCAAGGATGCAAAACAGTTGAAATTCTCATACATTGGTGGTGGGAATGTGAAATAGTAGTCACTGGATAATTTTTATAAAGTTAAGCATATATTTACTCATCAGTCCCACTATAAGATAATTACCCAAGAGATATGTTTACACAAGAACCTCTGTGTAGACATTCTTAGTAGCTTTATTCATAATTGCCAAATACTGGACGCAATTCAGATGCCCTTCAGTTGCTGAATGCAAAAACAAACAGTAGTATATATACTATGGAAGGTTACTTATCTGTAAAAAGAAATGAAGTATTGATACAATGCAACAATGTAGATGAATCTCAAAATCATTACAGTGACACAAGCCAGACTGTAAGATTGCATGTGTATAACATTCTGGGATGATGAACAGATCAGTAGTGGCCAGGATATGAGAAGAGTGTGATCACAGGGGACACAGCACAGGAACTGTTCTACATTTTCATTGTGACAGTGATTGCCCAACACCATGTGTTTGTTAAATCTCAGAGAACTGTACACCAAAAAGACTAAACTTTACTGTGTATAAATTTTAAAAATACAGTTTATAAAAAAGATATTTTTTACATGCATATCCTTTTATATTTCATATTTTAGGGTATATATCTCTGAGGAATGAAGTATTACCTTTTTAAATAGTATTTTTCAGGTGATGTGTAAATGTAAACCTGAAATTTCCTTTTTTTTTTTTAAATCCTTCAGGTGTTGAAGTGCCATCAAAAGACTCTTTGCCAAAGAAAAGGCCAATTTATGAAGATAAAAAAAAGAAAAAAGCACAACAGCTAGAAAATAAAGAAGGTTTGTACATAAAAACCTCTGATTTAGAGATTTTGTTCTTTTTCCCACAATTTTCAAAACAATGTCTTTTAAGAGATCATCAGATTGAAATGCATATTGAAACTTATTTCCTGTAGGTTGTTTACCTATTATTGTCATTATTCTCACTTGATTCAAAGATAAGCTAATGGAAAAAGTACTTTTGTTTGGAATATCTGGGTCCTACCCTATGAACAATAATTCTTAATTCTGAAAGACGAAACTATCATTCTTATTTTTTTCCTTTTCAGCTTTCTGTGATTTCATACTCTATTCCTTGGATAGAAAGCCTAGTAACCAAGTATTATGTAACTGATATTTAATCAATGTTTTCTAAACTTGTTGGAGAAATAGGTGTGCACTGCTGGTTTTAATTCCAATACTTAGCAGAGTATCTTACAGAAATTATATATGGAAAAAATATTTTTAACTTGGTTTGTACCCTTTTTTCAGTGTCCGAACCGATAGAATTAAGCACTGCTGTTGAAGTTGTGGAACAGGGAGTACCAGACAAAGAAGAGTTACCACCTTCTGTTGAACCAGGCCAGTATCATTAGCCAATTGACTAATTATTTCCTATTAAATGGCCTTGATTTGCCATAGATATCATAGTTATCATAAAACAATGTGGGGAAACCAAATACCTGCCTGGACAGCCTTTTATTCTTTTGTCATAGTTCTTTCTTTTCTGTAACCCATTTCTTCTCATTTCCATATCTTGAAAAGATATGGAATTGAGACTTGGATCAATTTTATTCTTTTCAGTAGTGTCAGTAAAATGTTTTGTAGAGGGTTTTGAATTTTCTCTGATGTTTTAATTTGTGGCTCAAAATCACGGTGACCTGAAATTATTTAATGCCACATTAGCAAATTGAAAGCATTTTAAATGAGAACTTTTAATAATCATAAGATGCTAGCTTCTATTTGATAAATCAAATTCAATTTATTCTTTGTGTGTGTGTGTTTCAGGTTATATTTGTACCACCAGAAAGAATTGTTAATTTAGAAAGATGTTTTAGGTAAAGATTTCTGAGTCTCATTTCCTTGTCAAGATGGCTTACCCAAACTTGTGGATAAATAATAATTACCACAGGGATGCAGATAACCCGTGGCCTACCCTCATCTTCTTTGTGTTTGAGAGTAGTTTTGCCTGTTTGGATTTCAGTAAAATGAGTGTCATTATTGAGGAACTGGATTGTCTCTAATATTTAAAAACTAATCAAAATTTTAGCTCTATGGCTATATTTGGATTGTAAGAACAACATTGTTTTCTTACTTTCAACTGGAGTAGTGATGGTAGCTTTGTATCTACAACTTCAGAATACAGATATTTGGATGTATCTGTAGAAGGTTAAGATAAGTAATAAATTCTTTTGCTTATAGTGTGAATTGAAAGATGACCCCCCCAAAAAAAAGATACTTAAGAAAATTTATTTGCCCTTAAATAAAACTGGGTGCATTTTGAGATCTATAGGGAACATTTCAACATCTGGGGGTTGATAATTTATATTTTTATTTACTTCAACTGCAAAGTCTGGGTTAAGTCTATTATGATATATCCAAATAGTAGGAAATCGTGAAGGATTTAGTATTAGTAAATTGTAACAAAGACATTTGAAAAGAAATTTCCAAAGATACTGAAATTCTACGCATTTTTTCCCCCCATAATTTCTTTATCTGTCAGAGCATAATTTTCTACTTTTCTGAAAGCAACCTCATGTCTAGGTCATTTCTGTGCTTTTAATGAAAAATTTTATTTACAGAAGAGGAAGAAGAAACTGAGGATGGTGGACTGGATGATTGGGAAGCTATGGCCAGTGAAGAGGAGAGAGAAAATGGTGAATAGCTCCTAAGCACATGTTGAAAAATGTAGTGGTTGTTGGAGGTGTATGGACTTAAATGAACAGTCAATTTCTTGATTATGATAGTCCTCTGAAGACTTCTGGGGTTATGGACAAGTCTTGTTCTCTTCTTTGCTGTGGTTCTTAAATCCTCACATGGATTCTCATTTTATGAATGAATGGATCTTTAGGTCATTTGTAAGGTAGCTGCCAGGGGATTTTAGAATGCATTTTTTCATAGTGATGATATTATAAATGAGATTAGGTTCTTTAATTTATTTATTTATGTGTGGTTTGGGTGAAAGTTTACAGAGCCAATTCATTTTCCAAACAACAGTTCATACACATTTTGTTAAATAGCATTGACTGCAATCCTTGTAATGTAGTAGCTCTTTCCACTTCCTCCCTGTAGTTACCTCTTTTCTGTGTCCTCCTTTCCTATGCATTCCTGCCCCTGAGCTATCTCTTTGTGCACATACTACCCTTCTGATCTCCCATGGTTGATTGTTCTAAGGAATATTATTAAAACTAGCTTACAAAATCCTCTTCTTCTTAATATATAATATAAATACAGTATATAGTTCCTCATCACTATGAATAAAAAATGTTTTTCTTTTTTATTTCTATCCTTTATGAATTAAATCTCCATGTTCTTTGGGTTAGATTTGCTGGTTTTTTTTCCCGTAAGTTTTTGAGGTGGATGTTTCGCTCCCTGATTTTTCAGCCGTTTTTCCTAATATGCATCTTCAGTGCTATACGTTTTCTTGTAACCATGGCTTTAGCTAATAAATTCCACAAGTTTTGATATGTTGGTATTTTCTAATTATCATTTTGATATCTTAACTTTCATCTAGGATTTGTTTATTTAGAAGTATATTTCTTAATTTCCAGAAGTAGTAATTTTCTAAAGTCTTTTCACTACTTCAGTATGATCAGAGAATATATACGTGATTCTGTCCTTTACAGTAAATCCAGTATATGGTCAATCATTGTAAACATTTCATGTGAGATTAGAAAGAGTATATGTTCTTGTAGTAGTTGTGTACCTTGTTTTATATATTTAGGTCAGGTTTGATGATCATTTTGTTCGAGTCTTTTTATATCTGAGCTGGGTTTTTTTTTTTGTTTGTTTTTATTCCATTTTTTTCTCCTGTGAGCTTGGAAGTTGTATACTTTTTGTTGTAATGGTTTTCTGGAGATTTCAGTATGTATCTTTGAACTGTCAATGTTTAATATTACCCTCTTTTTTTCAGACAGTGCAAGGACTTTAGGATACTTGAATTACATGTACCCACTTCTCAATTTATATTTCATTGCTATAATTTCTTTTAATTCTGTATATGTGTTAAACTCCATCACCAAAATCAAACTCACTGCTATTGAGTCAATTCTGACTCATAGCGACCCCCATTGGGTTTCCAAGGCTGTAAATATTTACAGAAGCAGACCTTTATCTTTCTTCCAAGGAGCTGCTGGTGGGTTTAAAATACCAACCTTTTGGTTAGCAGCCAAATGCCTTAACCACTGCACCACCAAACCAAAAACCAATTGCCCAACCTTCCTTCCGATGAGTAGCTGGTGGATTTGAACCACTACATTTCTGGTTAGCAGTCAAATGCCTTAGGCACTGTGCCACCAGAGTAGCTTATTATTATTTGTACAGTCAACATTTATTTACATTTACTCACATATTTTGTTGTGTTTTAATTCTTCTAGCATTTCTGACCTTCCATTTGGCATCATTGCCTGAGAGCACCATTTTATGGATCTTTAGTGACATTTCATTTTTTACAAAAAAAATAATTTATTTTGTTGTTGTTATTAAGCATATACACAGCAAAAACATACACCAGTAAAAATGTCCACATACACATTTCAGTGTCATTGAGTACATTCTATGAATTGTACAACTATTCTCACCCTTCTTTTCTGAGTTGTTCCTCCTCCATTAACTTAAACTCACTGCCAACAAAGTTTCCCTGCTAGTGTTTTGAGTTGCTGTTGTCAGTTTGAGTCTATCTAGGTAGGTCTTAAAAGAACATGATGCTCAAGGCAGACCCTTTTTTTTTTTCTTTACTGTTGTTGTTGTTGTTGTTATGTGCTGTTGAGTCGGCCTCGACTCATAGCAACCCCTCCTTGGGTTTCCGAGGCGGCATCACTACGGAAGTAGATTGCCCAACCTTCCTTCTGAGGAGTGGCTGAATTCTTTGGTTTTAAGAAGACTTGAGGGGACATTTCTGGTTTTAAGATTTAAAGATTATTGTAGGGCAGTAATTTTGGGAGTTTCTCAGCCTCCATGGCTCCAGAAATTCTGGATTCTTTGAAATTCCCTTCTACATTTTCCCCCTTTTGATGAGCATTCTTCTATAGACTATTTGATCAAAATGTTCAGTAATGGTAACCAGACACTTTTAGCAAAGAAGTCAGTTGTTCACGGAGGCAGTATCCATATAGCCCATTTCCTTCTCATAGAGACTTCTTATTATGCCTTGGGTGGCCATTTGCAAGCTTTTAAGACCACAGGCACTGTGCAACAAACTAAGAGGAAGAATGGAAGCACTAAACACATATTAGGGCAATTAACTGGGATGTCCCATGAAACCATCATCTTAAACCTCCAAACAAAGGAACCAAATCCCATGAGGCATTTGGTTGTCCATGAGCAGCCTCAGCAGCTACTCTTATTTTTCTTGGTCATTGTTGTAAATATATCTGTCATGCGACTTATGCCAACTTAACTTTTTACAGATATACAACTTACCATATGTTTATGTAAATAACGTGCATTACAAGGTTTTTTACCAACCATGCCATCTCCCACTACAGTATATTTTTGTAAGCATGCTATGAAAGGTGTGGTTGGCAAAAATATGTATATAACACAACACATTATGTATGTAAAATATGGTATTGACAGTGACATTCCATTTTGCTTTACTAAAAATTTCTTTTTTTAATGTTCATTCTTGAATATATTTACTGAATACAGAATTCTGGTTTGACATTTTACTGAGTTTAGCTCTTTGAAGACATCAGTCCCTTGTCTTGGCTTTTACTGTGTTGAGAAGTCAAGTGTCAGCCTAAATTTTCAGTTTTTATAAATTTAATCATGATATCCACAGAATAGATTTCTTATTCTACTTTGAGTTTATAGGAATTCTTTAATGTGTCATCTTATATTTTTGTGAGTTTTGCAATGTTAGAGCCTGCCTCAGGGATTCCAATTATACCAGTAATAGAACTGCTTATTGTATCCTCATTATTTTCCTCTTTTCTGTATTTTCCATCCTATTGAGATTCAGGTTTGTTCTGAATTTTCCTTTTAATCAGTCTTTTAGTCCCTTAGTTCTCTCATTAGCTCTTTCTGTTCTACTTTAAAACCTATCCATTGAGTTTTCAATTTTGTCTTTGCAGTGTTAGAATTTTTATTTGAGTATTTCTTATAGTTTCTAATTCTCTTAGGAAGTTTTTACTGTTAATCTTTTGCTCTTTGATTTTTAAAAGCTTGATTTTATAACTTCAGTATATGGAACCCTCTGGGTGTCTTATGCTGGCTTTTGTCATGTGATTGTTAGTTTGTGTGCTTTATGCATGTATTTCCTTTCTTTATATATCTATATATTTATATGCATATATAAAATTAATATATCATATACATAATAAATATAAAAATTATATTTATATAATTTTTTTTTAATATGATGAACATTGTACTTGTAGAACTGTAGAAATCATTTGAGGCCAAGGATGATGTTATCTTTTTCCAGGGAGGATTTATATGTTCCGCATTCAGGATTGAGGGAATCAGAAGGTGATATGCTGACAACGGGGAGGTCCTCTTCATGTTCATCCTTACTCCTATGGTGCAGCTCTTTGGGATTTCACCCCCTTGTAAGGGGGTTACCCATTATTTGTTCACTTCATACCCCCACCCCACTAATCCTTGGCAGTCTTAGACTTCTAATGCCTGGTCCTCTAGCACTGCGGAGCTGTTAAAAGCATTGCTTAGACTTTCACTTGCTTTCTCTAGAATCAGCAAATGACCTCACGGGGGAAGCAGTAGTAAACATTAGATTTACTTCCCTGAGTTTCTGTCCTTTGGATCCTGGCTCAGTAATGCTTTTCTTTTTGTTATCTCCAGTAAGGATTAATACATTAAGGTGGTATTATTATAATTTATTATGATTTGGGTGAACGTTTGCAGAGCAAATTGGTTTTTTATTCAGCAATTAATATGCATTTTGTTTTGTGACATTCATTGCAGTCTCAACAATGTAACAGCACTTTTCCCACCTCCTCCCTGTGTTTAACATTTCCCTTTGTCCTTATTTCTTGTCCCTTCCTGCGGGAGCTCTGGTGATATAGTGCCTAAGGCATTTGACTGCTAACCAGAAGTCTGCCAGTTCAAACCCACCAGCCACTCCTCGGAAGGAGGACTGGGCAATCCATTTGCGTAGAGATCCCACCTCAGAAACCCAAGGGGGGGGTCACTATGAGTCAGGATCAACTCGACGGCAGTGAGTTTGGTTTTCCTGCCTTCTTAGCTTTATCCCTAAGCAGATGCTGCCCTTTTGGTCTAGTAAGTTTGATTGTTGTGATGAATGCATACCTTCCTAGTATTATTATTCACCTTATAGGCCTATTGGTTGGCTGAAAGTTGAACCACGGGGGTTGGGTTCAGTTCCCAGCTTGAAAGTTGTCTAAGCACCATAGTCTCGAGGGTTCCACCAGTCTGTCAGAGAAGTAAGCCTGGTGTATTTTATGATTTTGAGTTTTGTTCCACATTTTTCTCCTACTCTATCTGGGACTTCCTGTTGTGATTCCTTCCAGAACTGTCAGCAGTGGTAGCCAGGCATGCATTAAGTTTTTACTGCTAAATGACAGTTTTTAGTATAGCATATAGACAAACACCTTGCAGTTATGATACAATAAAACATTAATTTGGAATTAATGCCATAGTGTAGTGTTTACTGCCTTAATTAGTATACTTGCATTATTACTTTCCCTTATTTTAAGGTCACTGTGTTTTGATTTATATGTATTAACTTTCATTTATTTAAAAATCTCTTTATTTTCCTTAAAGAGGGAAATACAGTACATATAGAAGTAAAAGAAAACCCTGAAGAGGAGGAGGAAGAGGAAGAAGAGGAAGAAGAAGAAGAAGAGAGTGAAGAGGAAGAGGAAGAAGAAGGAGAAAGTGAAGGCAGTGAAGGTGACGAGGAAGATGAAAAGGTGTCAGATGACAAAGATGTGGGAAAAACATTAGATAAAAAACTAAGTAAAGAAATGAGCTCAGAATCTGAATATGACTCTGATGATGATCGAACTAAAGAAGAAAGAGCTTATGACAAAGCAAAACGGAGGATTGAGGTATTTATTTTTCCCTTACATTTTTTTTTGCCCTCTATGTATTATCATTAGAATCATACAATACAACTAAAGGGAGCTCTGGTGGTGTAGTGCTTAAGACATTTGACTGTTAACCAGAAGGCTGCTGGTTTAAACCTACCAGCCACTCATCAGAAGGAAGATTGGTCAATCTACTCCCATAGTACTACTACTTCGGAAACCCAAAGGGAGGGGTCACTGTGTGGATCTGACTCCATGGCAGTGAAGGTTTTTTTTTTTTGTTTTTTTTTTTTGTATCTTTCATGAATATAGATGAGTTTGGTTTTGTTACACAACTAAAGGGTTTTATTGAATAGTACTTTTAAATTGTATTTTCAGAGCAGATTTTATCTGTTTTGTAATGGTGAGACATAATAGGTCTTTTATACTAATCTAACCCAAAGATTTTACTCCTGACCTTAAAGACTGCTTCATCATTTTTTTATTTTCTCCCAATTTCAATGGGTCATTGAATGATGATTGAATGATGCAGAGGTGTTCTGAGCATATCCTCTCTAGTTATAAATATCAGTCCTGTGTTTGTCTTGCTTATTCAGGTAAGTCAGTATAACGCATCTGATAACATTAATTTTTTAAAATCTGGTGGGGTTTAAGAGGCTTCAGTTTAGTAAAGACCACATATATATGACTCTGTATATTTTTCTTACCTAGTTCAGTAGGAAGGAAGACTGGGCAATCTACTTCTGTAGAGTTATACCGCCTTAGAAACCCAGGGAGGCGTAGCTTATGAGTTGGATTCAACTCAACGGCAGTGAGCTTTGTTGTTTTTTTTTTTTTTTTTTTTCTGTAGATGTATTAGATATCGGGAGAAAGTTTTCTTGTAGAAAACAACTGACTGCTATTAAAAACTACTGTAGTTTGCTTGAGAATGCTTAACACTTTTAAAACTAAAAACAGTTTTAGCTTTTTCTTCATCTTCTGTAATTCTAATTT